TCTGTCCTTCCAACTCGTGGAGGGGGGAAGGGGGGAAGGAACAAGACGAGACGTGGTGAAGAAGACTAACCTGTAATTCTAACTTTGTAACATGTCTTCCGTCCCTTTTATCTAAATGACCTATAGGTATTGATGTCGTACCTATTTCCACACCGAGTAAGGTGGTTGGTGGTGTGGGTATCGATGTCGTACCTATTTCCACACCGAGTAAGGTGGTTGGTGGTGTGGGTATCGATGTCGTACCTATTTCCACACCGAGTAAGGTGGCTTGTGGTGTGGGTATCGATGTCGTACCCATCTCCACACCGAGTAAAGTGGTATGACTGCTCGGTGTTGTGGTGTTGGTCGGTATTCGAATCGGGTCCAGACTTGGATGTATCGTACCACTATCAGGTTTCGTTTTCGTCTCTGGCCGACGTGTGGACGATGTTGACTTTGATTTGGGTCTGTATCTCCCTGATCGATCCGGATGAGGGATCGGAGTAGGCATAGGAAGGGGAACAGGAATAGGAAGGAACGTTGGTTCAGGATGAGGATCAGGGATAGGGTTGGGGACAGACGTTGGATCAGGGGAGACGGAGACGTTTTTTGACGGGGTAGATAAAGTGCAAGTTGGTATCGACTGATCCACGTTGACATGGCTCGTACCCATGGGATGATGACTGGAACCAGGACCGTCGTCAGGATTATGACGGTTGTTCCTCTTGATCCGCTCGATGACGGTTTGGTAGTCGATCAGTGACATGTCGGTGGGTGTGGTGGGTGAATGTTGATGGCCGTGGGGGTGATGATGGCGGTGGGGGTGATGATAGCGAGAGGGGTGATGATGGCGAGAGGGGTGATGATGGCGAGAGGGGTGATGATAGCGAGTGCTGGCGGCGATGGCCGCAGGGTACTACAACAAATGCCACGTCATGCATCCATCTATCACTTAACACCCGCCTGCTTTGCTTGTTCACGCGCAGCCAGCTTGACTTTCAACTCGCGCATCATCTTGGCCATTAGACTTTCAGCACTGGCCGGTTCGGTGTCTCGTTTGGTCCGAGTGTGAGTTTCCGTTGTCATCTCCGAAGGAGGAGGAGGTGGAGGAGGAGGTGGAGGAGGAGGGAGGAGGAAGAGGAAGAGGAAGAGGAGGAGGAGGAAGAGGAAGAGGAGGAGGAGGAAGAGGAAGAGGTGACCGAGTCGTCTGAATATGTATCGTCAAGTTGTTGATCGACATTTGACCGTTGTTGATGATTGCAGAAGTGACTTGGTGCGAGATAGGATCGGACAAGAGCGACCGCATAGGAAACATCATGTTGTTGTATTGGAGTGGTAGCGGATCGGGTGAGACGGTCAACGTCAAGTCATCTCGTTCGAGTTGTCGGACGTCTGCAGTTAGCGTTGGGTGACTGACGAGCAGAGTGAAGAATGACGGTTAGGAAGACTGACGAGCAGAGTGAAGAATGACGGTTAGGAAGACTGACGAGCAGAGTGAAGAATGACGGTTAGGAAGACTGACGAGCAGAGTGAAGAATGACGGTTAGGAAGACTGACGAGCAGAGTGAAGAATGACGGTTAGGAAGACTCACTCGCAACGTCCGAGGTATACCCATGCTCATCACTCGTATCGATCAGAGAGTGATCGGGGTCGAAGAGAGAGAACGAGTGAAAGATTGATACAGATGGGAATATGTATCGAGGATCAGGTTGGATGAGTAGTGACATGGTGTTGGTGGTAGGTGTTGGTGGTAGGTGAGTGTGTGTGTGTAGGTGTAGGTGTAGGTGCAGGCGTAGGTGCAGGCGTAGGCAGT